TACAGGTGGGTTTGTGGACTCATCTGGACTTCAACATTGAGTACAATGGCGACACAGTGATATTTGCCAATGTATCAGTGAAAGAGGTGAAACCTGTTCCCCTGGAGGAGGGCGTGGGTTCAGTGGGGGGAGTCGGGGTGGGAGGAGGCAGCCTGGTCGTCACCCACACGTACAGCGTGCGCTGGTTCGAGTCCCCTCTGCCTCACTCGAGGAGAGCCGAGCGCCTCAGAGATTACTCGTTCTTCCCCAAAACGCTGGAGATCCACTGGCTCTCCATCATTAACTCGCTGGTGCTGGTGGTGCTGCTGCTGGGCTTCGTCATCATCATCCTCATGCGGGTCCTGAAGAATGACTTTGCCAGGTTAGTTGGGCCTATAAATGTGAGACTTTGTGTTTCATGTCTTTTAAATATGGAAATTATACTATGGAAAGAAGATAGGCCAGGGATGGGCAACTTTGATGGTGGTGGGGGCCACATAATTGATGTACTGGCCACCAGGGGGCTGCAGATTCACTTGGAACACACACACACACAAATTCCATGTATTGTATGTAATTATTAACAAATATACTCAGTCTGACATCTTCATTGACATTTTACAATCTTTCAGGGAACATCCTCTAATAATCTCACTAAACAAATATCAGTTCACAGAAATGTTATTTAATTTTTACAAGTGGCATGTTTGTATTGAACAGGTTATTTAACAGTGGAATACAACTATTTTTCCGGGTCCGTTACAGTTTGTTTTCTGTCTTGGTTTTTAGAATATTAAACTTCTTTCGCCAAATTCAGATGATAAATACAACTTTTAAGCTTGTAAAGGCATAATTACAAGCGGTAACTTAATGTCACAGCAGGCATAACAACAGCCTGTGTTTCCCCGGGAAACAAACACAATACACACAAACGCGTCACAGATTATTTTGCGGTATTTGGCTGCCGCACGAAATCATATACGCAGATCGCGACGTAACTAGGAGTCTAGTGGATGGTATCAGTACTACAAGTAATAAAATAAAATATATATATTTCTTTAATTAATTACGTTGTTTATAAATGTATCTGAGGGCCGCAAAAAGAGGAGGTGGGGCCCCTGGGCCACCATTTGCCCATCCCTGCTGTAGGCTATTGAAAACATCTTAAATATAGTTAAAAGAGTTTTACAATCTTATACCAACAGAAAAAAAGTAAAGTCATTTAGACAATTCTGAAATCTATTGGGAGGAAAAACATCATATCGCAGTTTTTCTCTTGAGATTTTTAAAGACATTTATCACAATTTTTTTGGACATTTTCAAGTAATAATTATATAATCAATTTATAATTTGTAAATACATTTGATAATTTGCTCAATTATAAAAAATACTCAGCATGTGCAGCTCTTATTTGACTGTCTTTTGAGAAGTTAGTAGGTACTTTTTTCCAAAGATTTATTTAAAAAGTCTAAAAAAAATTACATTAAACTTTAAAGGCATACATTTCGGCTTTAAATACTTTTTACTCTCTTTTGGACATAAGGCTGTGGAAGTCTGAGTCCAAGGACAGGCTAGTTTAAATGTTGTATACGTTAGATTTCTATTACATTTTAATGAAAGAATTATAACATTTTGTTCATGTATATTCACAGATAAATACGGATGATATTAAATATCCAGGATTATATTTTCAAATTGGCACAGTATCAAAAAATAGCAAACAGGAAATCAAATCTAACTCCAAGAATGGGAAATAACTCAAATCAAGTAGATCATTAGTTTCTTCCTCTATCTTCTCACTTAGTCCTCCTCATCTACTCCTGTACCTGAAAGCCTTCTCCCCTCACCTGCAGGTACAATGTGGAGGAGGAGGGCGGCTGTGATGATCTGGACCAGGGAGACAACGGCTGGAAGATCATCCACACTGACGTCTTCAGGTTTCCCCCTTACAAAAGCCTGCTGTGCGCCGTGCTGGGGGTGGGGGCTCAGTTCCTTACTCTTGCCACAGGTGGGCATTCATTCTCAAATACACCCAAACAGTACTAGGAGGATCATTGTTCTGTTTGAAAACTGAGCACTCAGACAGCACTGACCCGCAGCAGCAGTCTTTGTACTGACCAGTAGAGGGACATAACAGGTCATATGTAAAGGTGTCTGATCACTTTAATGTGTCCTCATCAGGAATCATCCTCATGGCTTTGCTGGGAATGTTTAACGTGCATCGCCATGGCGCCATCAACTCTGCTGCCATCGTCCTGTACGCTCTGACCAGCTGTGTGTCGGGCTACGTGTCCTGCAGCTTCTACACACAGATCAACGGACAGCGCTGGGTGTGGAACATCATCCTCACCTCCTCCCTCTTCTCCGGTGGGTCTGATATGGAGGGTCTGGGATCACTTCACACTGGTTGTTAGAGCAGGGTAAACAGTACTTAAGATAGGAAAGATAAGATACGATTAGACTTTATTTATCCAGAAGGAACATTTTGTGCCAGGGTTACACAATTAAAGCATTTGAATTTTTTTATATTTGCAGGTAATCAAAACTTGATTTATCTGTTATTGCATAAGATTATCTCCTCTCTGCCAATAGCTTGAGGGTTACCCATTTAGCTGCTTCCATCCTCAGTACTTGTTTTCTTTTCTCCTTATTTCTTTCATCACAGCTCTTACATTTCCCTCTTGACATTTTAAATGTAGGCATTAAGCTGTCATTGAAAAATGTGATAATTAAGCTTTAAAAGGAACCAATTGATACGGATGAATTTTAACTGAGGTTTGGCCTTTTAAACTCTCTGTAGATTCACATTATGGTCTCTAAGGAGCAACATTTAGCTAACTTTTATACTTAAATAATGTTAAGGATGTATTCACAATGATTGACCATTTTGTAAGTTAGTAACTTTACCTAAACTTTTCATATATCGTCTATAAGGAAGCTGTCTGTTTTTTTACACTGCTATTGTTCATACACACTTTTGCTTTAAGTGTTACTTTACACATTTAGAAGAGAACTGGAATGATTTCACCCATGCCTAGCTTTTACAGCTTTGATGGAATTACTTTGTGTCTTTTTAAAGCCTAGTGTATAACAGCAGTCTCATTTGTGCTCTGTATAATGTGACAAAGCTGTTCAACTCAATTTATAATCTATTCATTTATGCAGGAGTTCTTGGTTCAGGTTCAAGAAGTTGTTTTAAATAGAGCATTTCTGGCACATAAAAAATGATCTTATTCAGTAACCCAGCAGCTGTATATTTTCATCATTAAAAAGAAAAACACATCATTAAATATAATGAATCACTTAACCCTAACCCATTTGAACTATACCCTGGTGCATACTTTCTCAAAAAAAGGTGATAAAAAATGCGTGTTCTTTATTAAATCCGTCCTTCATCCCCACAGCTCCTCTATTCCTGACATGGAGTGTTGTGAACTCCATCCACTGGTGGAGCGGCTCCACTCAGGCTTTGCCGGCCACCACCGTGCTGCTCATCCTGGGGGCCTGGGTGCTGGTGGGCTTCCCGCTCACCGTCATCGGAGGCATTGTGGGAAAGAATCGAGCCGGCAGCTTCCAGGCGCCGTGCCGCACTCGAAACATCGCCCGGCAGATCCCTACGCAGCCGTGGTACAAACACACGGCCGTACACATGGCCATCGGTGGTTTCCTGCCTTTCAGGTGAGACGTCTTGATGTGTGGGGAAGGGTGCTTCAGTCTAAGGGAGAATTTAAGACCACCTCTCCATACAGTTAAACAGTTTTGGTGTTAAGTGATTGGGATAGTAATACCGTTCTTCCCAACATTATATTGCTGAACGACGATTCTACTATTAATCTATTCAACCAACCTAAAGGGCTGCCTTCTGCTGGTTTAACTGCAAAGAAATCCGTATTACAATAAACACCCTGTATCTTATGTTTATTGATTAATGGATATCTTCCTTTCATAATATATTAATCTCCAAGCTGTCCTTTACATCTGTAAACCATTCTGTAGCCATTAGTAGAGCTGTGATCCTGGTTATACGTTCTCCTTGGACTTTTTAATTTTTCTGTATTTATATTATTTGTATCTATACTTTTGAAGATAGTTTGAAAAATAAAAATTGGTCACAAAAGAAGCATTGTAGGAGAATGACTGATTAAATATCTTTATTTAGGAATAAACTTTGGAACTGTTAACTACCAGGTGTATCCAGACAAATGGTAAAAACATAAAAAGTACAGCCTTTTGATTTTTGTTTTACACCCACTTGTTTCTATTTTTAACATTTGTTTCAGTGCCATCTCAGTGGAGCTGTACTACATCTTCGCCACAGTTTGGGGCAGAGAGCACTACACGCTCTACGGCATCCTGCTGTGCGTCTTCGCCATCCTCCTCTCAGTGGGCGCCTGCATCTCCGTCGCGCTCACCTACTTCCTGCTGTCCGGCGAAGACCACCGGTGGTGGTGGCGCAGCGTCCTGAGCACCGGCTCTACCGGCCTTTTCATCTTCGTCTACTCTGTTTTCTACTACCGGAACCGGTCGTCGATGAGCGGCCTGGTGCAGAGTACGGAGTTCTTCGGCTACTCTCTGCTCACGGCGCTGGTCTTCTCTCTGATGCTGGGCAGCGTGTCGTTCTGGGCCTCACTTGCGTTTATTCGCTACATCTACCGTAGCCTCAAGATGGACTAAAAATGTGAATATACACATGGCTATAAACAATCCTCATTCTACTCTTGCTTTCAATCATACACACATCTCCTATGCCACAGGAGTAAAGGGGCCTTGATTTTAGCGAGAGCCGATGGTTGAAATAAAGCTGTTATTTTAACACGGTTGGATTATGTATTTAAGGATAAAATGGGATAGTTGTGTACTATCAGGAGTGAATGTGTAAAAATGTATGAGCTAGTGGGGGTGAATGAATTTAATCATTGTATGATGTAGTGGCATCTGGTTCCTACTTAATGCTTGAATAAGGCTTGGCAGGCTCTAGTCTTTAATCCCCACATTGCACCAGTTACCCACTGAAGCGGCTGTCTCATACTGTAGTTTTATTAAAAATGCAGCAGTGCCGGTGTTACATGCAATTATACTTCACCCACACACAGTATCAACAGTCAATTTACATATTGGAATAATAGTTTTGCAAGTCACCTGTCAAGCTCCACATGGCCCAGAGGATAAGAGGAATGCAGTTTAGAAGAAAGTTGGTGATGGGAGCAACATTGTATGTTATGGTCACCATTGACTGGTTTTGGTTCTGATGTAAATAGTCTTTTCAATAAAAATGCTTTTAACACAGTGCCAGCAAGAAATTCAGGATTTTTTTTCATGGGTTTTATATCCTTGTACATTTAGAGAAGCCAATTTGAACATCTTTATGATCACAGAAAATGCTACATTTGTAGTTGCTATCCTTTTTTTTTTACATTATTGCAAGTTTGAGTCCTGGTGTCTTGCATATGAAGGATTTCCCCATTTAGCCATATATGATTCAATTACAAAATAAAAAAGTAATCACAGTTTGTCAAAAAATGTCAGCAAAGTTACTGGAGTGAAACTGGCTTTTATAAAAAAGTGTGTGCACAGCAGATATCTTTCAGTACTTTGCTTTAAAAATTGTTATAAAAAAAACAACGTGATCCAAGAATGCATCCAACACCACCAAGCGCAAAGAACACACCAACATTAAATAGTTGCATATCAAAAATAAAACGAATTGGTAAAAATACTTTTGATTGGGTATATGTACACTCGACCATGCAAAAAAGACTTCAATCCCAGTGAAATGGAATATAAACAGGGCTGTTGGGTAAATATTACAGAAAAAGCTCGAACTCATCAACCCAACAACAACTACTGGCCGTGGTACACCATGGCTGTGCCGCGGGTGTCCCCGTCTTTGCTTTCGAATCGCGTGTCATGTCCAGTGTTATTTGCAGGGGCGGCGCTGGCTGAGTTGAATGCCATGTTGTTGTATTCATAGTGGTTGACTCCTGGAGGCATGGACCAGGCCTGGGGCCTGGGGGGCACTGCGGTCTGGGACGAGCCTGAGGCCCAGGGAGGGTATCCAGCAGCTCCAGCAACAGAGTTAATGGCGGCCAGATAGAGGGCGAGGTTCTGAGGAGCCGCCTTTTTAAAAGACGTCTCCATCATGCGCTGATTGTAATGCTCCTTCAGCTGGGGCCGGGCTTCTCCCTGATACTGAGGGGAATCAGGGATATTAGTACACAATTTAGAAAAAAGTGGCATTCTTATTCTTACGTTTGATCATGTTTCGTCACGCCTTTAAGGTCATAACCAGACTATGGTTGGGCCTCCATTATGGACGTCTTGTTTTATGTCCTAGCCTCTGTTTCTCTGTTATTAATTAACAGGAAATTTGAGCAGGACAATGTCCAATCACACCTTTATCAGCATTAAATATTTGAGCAAACAAAGAGCTACTCACAGGTGGGATGTGTGGTGGCATATTGGTGTACATGGGTCCACGAGTAGGGCTGTTTCTGTTGTAGCGCTCCGACACCCAGCTCGTGTCCTTCTGGTGCCTCCTGAGCTTCATCCTTCGGTTCTGAAACCAAGTCTTAACCTGAAACGCAGAAGAAAGAGCTTCAGATGATCTGAAAAGATGCATACATTTTGCTGTGGATGTGATCCAGGACAGCCATTAATCCCTCACCTGTTTGTAGGACAACCCAGTCAGTTCTGCAACATTCTTCATCTCCACCGGTGTGAGGTACCTCTGAACACTAAAGCGCTGGACAAGAGCATTCATCTGACTCTCAGAGAAGGCAGAGCGGACCTTTCCTTTAGGGGTATTTACAGCCGAAGCCTTCGTTGGGACAATTAAGGGTGCATTTTGGGTATCGTTGGTGCACATGTTCCCATTGACAGGAACAGTTCTGGGCTCCTCCATGACAGAGCTGGAAACATCCTCTCTGGCATCAGGGCTCCTACAGATCGCTTCTTCCTCCAGCTCTTTCTTTGCCCATGTAGCAGGGTCAGCCTGGGGGACACTTCCTTCTCTGCTGCTCCCAGAACTCCAGGAATCTAAGAGAGGGGAACGGACACGGTGAGCAGGGTCAAAATTGTTCCGAGCATTTGTCAAAGCATCACATAACTGGACCTCTGTGGGGGACATAACCCCAAGGAGGATTATATTTAACTACATCATGCCGAATGTAGTTGTGCCCTAATTAACTGTGTATTGGAAATGGCAGTTTTTGGCATATGATCATACATTATGAAGTTTCTCTTCTTCATACCAGGTTATTAATGCACACTATAATATAAGCAATATTACATTACATTATTTCGCTCAATAAAAGCACTAATAATGTAAAGGCCCTGCTGTCTGCTACAATGTATATAAATAAATGCAATAAATAAACACTGTTTTTGGTACTTTTTACATGTATTTACTTTATTAAACTGAATAGTTAAATATTTGTTGGCATTTTCAAGTTCTGTCGCTAGATGTCGCCACTTGTTTCAGCGGGTAAAATCAGTGGCGCGATATTTGTGACTAACAAACTAAAATGGAACTAAAGTGGACTTCACGGTCAACATTCGTGGAAGAAATCCTCGCTTTTTGCAGCCATGGGGGAAATGTAAGAATCATAATTTTGTTTCCCAGTTTTAAAGTTGCATGCGAGTCAGTGATAGCAATTTACCTGGTGAGGTGTGAGTCTCCGAGTCACTGGCGGTGTTGCTCCCGGCCCGCCTGACCACATGTGGCCGGGTATCGTACTCAGGCCGGTGGGGTTCGGCCAGCAGCAGACGGCCTGCTTGGGAGTCGCCCAGGTAAACCGCCTCGGAGCCCTGGTAGTGACCGTGGCCGCTCATGGCGTGCTGCCCCGGGCTGCCGGGTGGAGACTCCTCCCGAGTCCGGGGGGTGGAGGCGAAGTAGGCTGGGCTGACCCCGGCGTTGTAGTTGCCCAAATCCGTGACTCCGGGCGCTTCTCCCCAGCTGGCCGTATTCCCGTGGTTCTGCTCCGGCCCGGGTTGGTAAACGAGGCCGTAAGCGTATGCGTGGTAAGAGGGGTTATAGTTGTAGCTAATCTGCGGCTTCCAGTCGGCCATTTCTCCGGCGTATCGATAACAATGTAAAAACCGCAACTAAAAAATAACCAAACAAATGTGAGTTTACTGCAGGACGAACCCGTTCATCCACAGGGGCGATGCTAGGTCCTGTCCAGGTAAAACAAGCGGTGTCAACTAACTTTGAAAATTGCGCCCATCCTCCAGATGTTATAAAGACGTGTGTGGGTGTGGCCAGGTATGGAGGTAGGTGTTGGGATTGTTGGAGCCAATCCCTTTGACTCATCCTTCATTGAAGGCAGTGATGCCATTTCATTGGCCCACTAAGTTTGTTAAAATTTGTTTTACATTTTTGGGTTTGGGACATGGGCACAAAGACAAACTAGTTTAGAAGAGTTTTAACCACTATTGAAGTAACCCTCTAAAATTACTTTTTATTTCAATGCTACAGAGTTAAAGTTAAATGTCTCACTTGAGTTATAATCTACTGGAAGGATTATATGAAGCCCCTCATTTATTGTGTGTATTGTTTGGTTTTGAAATGCTTCACTCAGGCACTCATGTGCTTGCATGACATGGAATATAATCTCACGGTTCCATATTGAAAAGTGTTTTTGTTTCAACATTTAAGAGCTTCATAAAGATGCTTACATTATGCATACTCCTAATATAACATTTGTATGTATCTAGCTAGATCTATCTCAAAAGAATCCTGTTAATTGTGATGCCCTAATCCAGCATGTGTCTCTTAACAAGAGTTATGAGGCTCAGATTGTAAGAACTGGTGATCGTTTGTTTGAATTGTTAAGGATGAGATTTTGAGATACATCATTTACTAAAAAAGATAGAGCTAAATTGATACTCACTGATAATACACTTAAAGCAACATATGATATTTTTATGGCAGCTTTGGTATTTAAAACAAGCTTCACTGACTGCATGAATACATTGTGCTGCCAGAGATCTAGCTCAGCAGTATAGGACGGTTTTACAAAACATAAATGAGTTACATAAGAGGGCTATCCAAATAGTAAACAAACTGATGCCTTGTCAGCACTAAAGCGTCAGTTTGCTTTAAACCATGGCCAAGTCTGTTGATTCCCCTAGTGGCTTCATTATGGTTTTTTGGGGCTTCTGTCAAAGATCAAGAGACGAAACATAGCATCTGGGTCTCAAGTATGAATAGTTTATCACTTTACCACTCATACTTCTTAGTCAGCGTTTTTGTTATAGATTGAGAAAAACTTAAATTGAAGGCAGTGAAACAGCTTACAGACATGTTGAACAGAATATTTAGCTTGAAAGAGATCTATGTGAGATTGTAAGTGTTTACAAATATATTTAACTTTAATTTGTGCACTTTGAACATAAGAGTTTAAAGACAAATCGTTGTTGCTTCAAATCCCAACTTGCCCAAATTCTGTACGGTGGGTTGGCAATGTTGTTACAGAGTGTTTTACCTCCAAATGCAATCCCTTTCACAAAGATGATTTAGATTACCTGCGTGTTACCATCCAAGGGTTTGTTGTTGTTCCCCCTCCTTGGCTGTATTGACGTGGTAATGAATCAGTTAGTGATGAATTGATGCGAGAACAGTGAGCCTAATGGGCACATAAGCATTTTGACTGATCTCTGCCTGGACAGGGTGTGTTTTCTGATCTTGTACAATCCAAAGCTCCCAGGAGGGGGGCTGATGGTGTGGGTGGAAAAAGAGTGTGCTTTGAATTAGCATTGGTATGTGGAGAGAGGACAATAGATTATGTATGCTTATTGTAGCCAACTGTATTTGTAAAGTATATTTGAGAGACACTGCTTTTGTAAAATAAACTGCAGTGTCTAAACATTTGAACATCTTCAAGATGTTCCTACTCTCCTAAAATACAACTATAACAGCAAACACTTAATACCTAGCTGTGTGTGGTACAAATAAAAAACCGCTGAGTGTGATTTCTTGCTGTCCCAAGCTACAGTTTACATCATTACTTCTTCAGTTTTTCTTTCTTGCATAGTGCAGACCAATCACTGGTGTTGTTGTTTCAGTACTTTACATTTTGGGCGTGATGTGCGAGACCACGAGAATCTCTTTTGTTGACTCAAATGTATGTAAATAGCATTTGGATACCCTCTTCCAGGTGCAAACACAAGTCACCTTTTATTGTCCTCCTTCAAGAAGTTCAATCAGTAATCTTGTTTTGATTGATATCATTGCTGGGGAATGTACTTTGAGGTCCTTAACCTCAGTTAAAGTAGTTATACCCTGCACAGAATAAAAACATGGTTACAACAAGTACGTCCTGTGCTAATAATTTGAAATACGCAAAAATATACAAGTATTTCAGACACAATGTTACTAAATATCCAAAGTAAAAGTACTGGTATTGTCTAATTCAGTGTTATATTTTCATATCTGATGTGTGTAAGCATTAGTTTAATGTTGTAGGTGGTGAAAAAAACAACAACAACTCTAACCAGGGTATTTTCATAGTTTGGCCTTTGAGCGTATGTTTCATATTCAAAAATGTGTAAAAACTAGCAATGGTATATTTACAAGTACTGTGCAGTGATATTTTGAACTACTCTTACCTAACTTTAGTTAGTTAATGCATCTTTAAACTTCTACTGCATACATCTTTGCAGATTACATAAAACCAACTGATACATGTTAATTTATTAATAAGGATCACACTTCCAGAAAGTAGATACAATAATTAAAAATACCTAAATCTTTACCAGCTGCAACATCAAAAGTGAAACACTTTGATGAATCAATACTTTGTAAAATATTACTTATTATTCTTAAAAAAGCTTAAGTATATATTAATACCAAAATTGTTTCTTTTAATTTTTTGATTTTAGGACTTATAGGCCTTCTGGTATAATGTACTACAGGGGTGGGTATTGCTACTTTAGTAACATACCTGACTCTTCAAATACAAAGGAATAGTTAATATAGCTGGCTTATAAATGTAGTGGAATACAAATAAATATATTTTTAACTTGTAGTGCAGAAGAACTATAAAATAGTGTAGCAGTGTGCAATTACCTAAAAGTTGCAGAAGTATATTAGATGTACTTTTTCCCTTATCAGCATTGATTTATATTTGTTGCACAGGATTATTTTAGCAAAAGATCTAATCCACAAATGATGCTTTCTCAAAATGTCTCAAGTATTTCGTTTTCTGAAGGACATGATGGAACTATCTTCATTCCTGATTGATCACTTGTGGGGTTTTTTGTTCATAATGCCGTAAGTTTGAATTCATTTAATAAACGCTGATGTGATTTGCGTTTTTTCTGATGTATTTGAAAATAAATTCTATATAGTTGAACAAAAGTATATATATATTTGCTGAACATGCCCTCCTCTCCGGTGGGGACGCTGTTAGTTTCTGCCTGCAGGCTCACTCACAGCAGCATGTCCCTTTAACACATCTCACATGGAGCTCCTGGCCGGTTCTGTCCCGCGTGCTGGCAGTTGAGCCCTAACGGACCAGCCCGAGCTAGGGACTCAATTCTGCCGGACTCGCCTTTTCGGCTTTGACAGCTTCACACGTATCCGACGTTTTCTCTAATTTAACCTTTACGGGAAACTTGACAGCTAACACACAGAGTTTCTATTTACATATTTAACAGCTGTAACGCACTTGGTAACTACACCGGGGAACTCTTTTATTCAACCCGGTTTATTATAAATATTTCCGTTAACGGTTTCAGCAGAAGTGATAGCTCTAAACCGTCAAGATGACAGAGGAACTTGAGCTAATTCTTTCGCAGCTGACACAGCCGGATAATGCTGTAATTCAGCAGGTAAAGTCACACATAACTTTGTCCCTGTTAGCATTAGCGTTATTAAGTTTGTTAAACGAAGAAAAAGTTGGGAAAACTAAGTGTAACGGTTTACTAACGGTTAACGAATTATGCTAGCTAACAAGTAACGTCCGGCCAACTGTCCAACAGTTGGTCATGATATTCATCACCATTATGTCCCAGCTTTAAGAGATGTGCATTGTGACTGTGGCCCACTCACAACTTTATTTAAAAAGAAACCAAAGGCTTGGGTTGTGTGTCATTTGGCAGCCAGTCTAACATGGTGAGACCTCTTTTGTCCCCTTTTAGGCCACCGTCCAGCTGAAACAGGCTTTCAAAGACCCAGCCATTATCCCAGCCCTCTGTGCTGTCATGAGTGGCTCCCAAAACCCTCAGGTATTGTGTGTGGGTGTGATTTTGTTTGGGATAAGTAACATTTTCCGAATCATTTTGTGCAAGTCAAATGTTGAGTGAGTGTGCCATCTACTAGATAACATTTCTTTAAATCAGTGGAAACCAATTAATAGAAAAAGTGCTTTTACAATGGTGTCCTTCTGATACATAATGAAAAATAAGTTATGCAATAAAAAGTGTGAACTCAACATAATAATACATATAAATGTAACACAACAGTAAAAGAGTTACATTTCACATGGACACATGCATTAAGTAAAACAGGTCCTTACATTATATAAACTATCATTCAATAAAAGCATCAACACTACTGAGGTAAACATTTCTCTTTTTTAAGAGAGCTTATTCCATTTCCATGCTCATACATGGGCTTTTTTGTGTGCTTACAAGTATAGTATTCAATAAGTCTAGTTAGTGATGAACAATAACATTGTTAATTTTTAAGGATGGCTTTTTATGTAAAGGAGAGACAGCATTATTCTGTTCCGATGGTACGTGATGAACAGTGCACCTTCCCTCATGACAGACAGGTGCAGGACTCATGGGACACCGAGCAATTTAGATTAGTTTCACTTATCTACAAATGTAACAGTTAATTGTACTCTTACAGTAGGACCTTCAACTGATTGTTAATCTGAAGTCTAATGTTTAAATAAGATACCTTTTTTAAATTAAAGCGTATACGTTTTTCAACATGAGATTTGGAAGATCATTTCCCCCTGTGTGCTTTCACCTATGTAAACTAGATTCGTCAGTCAGCTGCAGTGATGCTGAGGTTGAGAGTGAAGAAACACTGGAAGAAGATTAACCCTAATGATAGAGAGAGGTTTGCTTTTTTGCCTTTTTCATTGAAGACTTTCACACAATTATGACACTAAACCCTGTTGAATACAAGTTGTAATGTGATGTATTTCTTTATTCATGCAGCCTTAAGACAGTGGTGTTGCAGGCCTTC